AACACAATAGTGTTCATAATCATCATCATCATCATAATATGAACTACAAGATATCCATGACTGAACAAAAGCCTACCCCAATTACTCAATTACTAGCTTTTACCCTCGGCTTCGCACACATCACAAAAAGATAAAAGTCCTATGTGACATATGCTAATACACACAGCGCCATCTATACCAATAATTTCGTTTTCCCTCGAGAATACCAAATTTTTCCGGGATAAAAAGTACCCTATTATTTAATCCAGACTTCTAACTTTACGTCTGCAAGAAATCAAAGCAATCGGTTCAGTAGTTTCGGCGTTAAAGCGGAACAAACAAACAAACTCACTTTCCGATTTATAATATTAGTAAGGATTTTGTTCTAAGGGTGAAAACGGTACACATACAAAAATAGGCAGTAACTTTGTAGTGCAGTAAAAAGATAATTGCATTTTGGAAAACAGCACACTCAATTTACCGTAAAATAAAAAAAAACACAGTAAACACGAAACAATAAAATAACATAAAATGCGATTTCGAATATAGTGATTGGATTGGTTAAAAAGTTCCGAGTCAAAGCCTTTCAAAAATGCATTGGTGCAAAAAATAGAGTAGTCTGACCAAATTTTTTAAAAGCCGCAAAAATATCGGCGTGATGCGTTGACGTTCGTGCCGGGAATATAAAATGTAATAATAGCAAATGACGGATCATATTTTTGTGAAAGGGTCGCTGTTTGTAATGTTTATACCTAGGTATTATAGAATATGTTAATTTTATTAGTTTTCATCTTGTTTTAATATAGGATAAATTCATATACGGTTCATAGATAGATTATATTATGTATGATGTTATTTATATCTAGCTATATATATATGTATGATTATGTATATTATTATATACGTATTTTATGTGTGCTTTGATGCTCCTTATTAATTTTGATAATTACCACTAACATTTTTGCAGCTTACCACCTACCACATACATTTCTGCACTACCCAAAGGATGACTGGCAGAGAATGCTGTTACCATTAAGTCCTCCTTATGCATTTGTATTGTATAAAACTTAAATGAAATAAATAAATAAATATGTATATCACGTGAATATACTGAGAAAAGCTCTAATAGTTACAGCCTACTGAGGTAGGCTGCGCCACATCGCCGCGACCGCGCACGCTGCTCATGAGGAAGAACCCCTCTGTGGTTTAAAACTGGTAGAGCTTTTCTCAGTATATTCAGGTCAGTAACCCGTGATTTTTAGTTAATTTAGTATGTTTCACGATATATATTATAAAAAAATATGTATATCATCACTGAAAAGATACTCAAAGTTATGACGTCGCCACAGTTATGTTAACAATTCCATAGTCCAAATGGAATTCACCACATGGACCTACAATGAAATTGAAATCATTGGTTCATGACAGCACAGAAAAGAGATATATTTCTCTAGGAGTATGGTACATCATTAGTCCTCGAGGTTTTAAGTAATGTCATTAAACGTAATCACGCTTCTATTCTGCTTATACTTAAATAATCTCTAGCTATAAATGTATAGGCAACATAACATAACATCACCCCTTTTATCCGCGAAATGGTAGGCAGAGGTACACATTGATCCCACTGTATAATGTAACCCCCACTTTTGACTATTTATGTTATGAGTTCCATGTAATAGGGGTGAGCCTATTGTCTTAAGAATAATCAAATCCAAATCGAAACATAAATTTGCTTGATCAAAAAATTAAATAGTTGTCTATGAATATTTTGACAAAAACTAAGCCACAAAGAGCTTTATTTCTCTTTTCAAGAAAATACGAACTTACGTTTTAAAAGAAAAAAGGTTTCTTTGTAAACAAAACAAGACTGAACAAGAAAGCCTATCCCATTTTAAACGCTGAGCTGTATTTTAAGTGCGCCTAACCTACTTATTTCGTGTTTTGCAAGTATCAAGACAGTCTCGTCTAAAGTTAAAAAGAAAAGCAAATAAGCAAACTTATACGCGACCCAAATAACTTGAGGTTTTAAAAAATATTCCACATTTTCTTAAAGAATACAAGAATAGATTGTGACATTTTTAACCGACTTCAAAAAAGAAGAAGGTTCTCAATTTGACCTGTATGACATACGTGATCTTGTGCGTTTATGTCACGATTGGCTCACCGATTTTGATGCTGTTTTCAGACAAGTTTGTTACATTTAGGAGAAGGGTTTAGTATATTAATTACCTGTTTTAAAAAAAGAGAGTTATTTACAATAAAATTTAAAGCAGAATTTTTTATATGTAACATTATTCTTGTTTGTCCTACCTGGGATGCGTGTGCTACGGGGCACCTGTCTGGGCTGATAGGGCCACAATAGGCGCGGTACGGCGAAAACTTCTTCAAGGCCAGCGTCTAGCCTTGATTTTCCTGTGTAAGGCTTATAGGACGGTTAGCACTGAAGCCCTACCTGTGCTCGCGGGCGTACTTCCGGTAGATCTTGAGGTGCAGCGACGTGCTGCTATGTACTACAGTGCGAGACCTAATGTGTCAGCAAGCTTTCCAGCACAACGTGATAGAAATAAAATTGCTAGATTGTTTAAGCCAATAACGGACGTCTGGGATGAGCTTATAACTGAATGGCAGGGTAGATGGGCATCTTCTATTAAGGGCCGCCACCTATATCAGTTCTTCCCATCCGTGCATGAGCGGCTGGAGAGGACATGGTTGGAGGTGGATCACTGTGTTGCCCAATTTCTTACTGGCCACGCTTTAAAAGCAAATTGTTCTCATTTAAACTTGTTGATTCACCATGGTGCCAATGTTCGACAGTGGATTTGCAATACGAGCAGTCGGCCCATCACATACTCTGGGAGTGTGATCTCTGGCAATATGAACGTAACACTATGTTGAATAATTTAATTGTTTCGTCAGGTGTAGCTTATTATACGGACCTTGTGGAATCTAGAACAAATTTCCGTGCGTTTAGGCGTTTTTGCCATACCTATTATTGGAAGCAAGTATAACAGCTCACACATAGGACCCACTTAGTTTTTTAGTCAAATTTCCGTGGTGCTTGGCGACTGGGCTTCACCCAGTTGTACAGTCTCTTCTTTGTGCCTTTAGGCTTAATTCATTCTGTCTCCTGCAGAAATTCACCGAGGGAAGTGGAAACTATAGTTTTTTCTTCTCCTCTTATAATATCTTCTGATTCATTTCGTTGCGGGAACCAAGACAGTTACTCATGTCCCTGGGACGCGCCGGACTTCAGTGTTCCGGTGTTTTCATGGTTGTATCTACTGTAGATCCTGGCTTACAGGAGTTGCAGCGGTTTTGGGAGGTTGTGGCGGGCTTGTCCCAACTAAAAAAAAAAAAAAAATTATTCTTGTTTTTAGGTTCTACTGAGTTCTGGAATGAAATATAACATTTTGCTTTAATTAAAACACAACATTAAATAATAATTATATTGTGAAATCAAATAAACAATACATACAATATTAAAATCACTGGACTAGATATGTATGTAAAAACAAATAAAAAAAATTGGGCACGTGTACCTCAGTCGCTTAATTATAAAACAAAGAAATAAAATTTGTTGGCACATATTTCTATCTACGTTTAAAGGTTTAAAGGTTGTTCCAAAGGGCAAAGTTTTTCATAACAAGAATAAATTATTAATTAAATTATCAAACAAACAGGTTACTAACCTACTCCCTAAATAGTAATAGACTACAAAATTCCCCCTAATTATCTTGAACATCGAACGATAAAGATCGGTAGCTGCCATGTCAAACCACTGCTGCTGACACCCTGATGTTATCTCGTATGATTGAGCACTTTTTATAACAATTTTAATTAGAAACAAGTAATCATTAACTAACTAATATAGGTTACCGGAACACATCGTACATAAGTACCTATAGAACTTTTTGTTCACTAACCTTTTTGCATTAATAATGGTGGCACTCACGACGTACACAGTACTACAGATGACTTATTCGTGAACTCGAGGGTAAGAAAGTCGCGGGTGCCCGCGAGTTGGCACCGCTCTATTTTACCCATTTTTGATGTCACCAACTATATATTTTTTTACAGTTGGCAACATATTATATTTTTCATAAAATATAATACAGGCACCGAATCTTTCATTTTTAAAACGAATTTCATTTTTCATTTTTAGAATGAGGTTATTAAATAAGGCGAGAATAGTTACATTTCTTTCAGTTTTAATGTACCTAAAATTGAAAAAAAAAGTATGTTCTGTTTCTTCGTCCTCGCACTTTGTTTAAAAATAAAAGAGTGTCAGTACCAGTCGCGGAAGACCTAACGGGTTACCGGGGTTGTGACTCGAAAGGCAGGAGTACGAACGGGGTAGTTTTTAGTCAGTAAGAGTCTGACACTCCCTCTCGCCTAAACCAAGGCGGGAGAAGAAATTGGATGATTTCCCCCCTCAAAAAAATAAAAACCAGTACCAGTAAACGAGTACGCTTGTTTTATACGCTAATTGACGAATAAGTCCTAAAGACTAGCCAGTACAAACTAACCGTTGAATATACGGAAAGATCATAAAAAGTTAGACCACGATAAAGTGGTAATATATAACTTGATGTATAGATTGAATGTTAGTTAAATAACTGTGTTAACTATGAAAACAATGTAACTGACATTTCGGTTAGTTGTTAAAAAAACGGTTCGTAACTAGTTGTTTTTTATTTTATTTTTTTGAACTGCAGTTAGTTTCTTTGTTGCTAGTGGTATGTTTGTTGTTTCAATTGTTTTTTTTTTTTGAGGAGAATGTCTGCAGTATTTATGTCTATGTAAAGTACCTCTAGACAAGTAAAAAATATTTGTTAATTAGACACATGAAACTTTCTTGTCAATCAAGGACATACGAGTAGTTAATTTAATGTTTCGAAAAACCTTTGAACAACAATGAACCAAAGTCAATAGCAATTCCTTGATAATGTAATGATTCAGATTTAAAAATTCATTTATAGAATACTTTTTTTTAAGGGGGGAAAATCATCGAATGACTACTCTTGGGTGAGGCGGGAGGGAGTGTCAGACCCTTACTGACTAAAAACCACCCCGTTCCTTCTCCTGCACGTCGAGCCGGAGCCCCGGTTACCCGTTAGGTTCTCCGCGATATTTATAGAATACTAGCTGTTGCCCGGGACGTCGTCCGCAATAAAAGTCTTGCAAAATCAGTCCAGCCATTCCAGAGATTAGCCAGTACAAACAGACGGACAGACAGACAAATATTTTAAAAATTGTTATTATGGTATCGTTGTACATTCATATGCATATGCGGTTATTTTAATATTACAAACAGACACTCCAATTTTATTTATTTGATTAGACGAGATTTTATACCGACCGCGTTACATCTCCAAATACTTGACGAGACTAAAAATGTCGGTGTCGGTACTAAATTGTCTTCTAACAAGATGTAAATAACATAAATGTTACCTACAAAACATCACCTAAATTTTTACCGTTAAATATTTAACATAGTACTGGTAAAAGCCACTATGTTAACAAGCTCGCTAAATATTCTTTTAGCTCGTTTCAGTATCAAAGTGTGCGGTACCAAAAAGTTACCAAAGTCTTCATTAGCTAATTCGAAACTGACGCTTCAAAAGCCAGCTTTAGGTACACACAATAAGAGAACGAGTGCCAGCTAGCAATTTCATGTACAACGCTCTACAATAACAAAAATATAAACAGTAAACCAACTTCGTTATAATGTCGAATATTCATCTATGAATAATTTAAAATTATTCACTGTAATCACTCGCTTCATTAATTTTGAAACAAAAATGTTATTTTTAGTTATAAAATTATAATATTCTGCTTGAACTCCATTTCATTCGAATGTTTAACCAATTAATTTGGTTTCTGATGTTGTTGAAATACTCTTTGGGGCTGTTTGAATTTGTACAAGGGTTTCAAGGAGTGGAAAGTTGCGAGTGATTTGTTGGTATAATCCCTAAGTATTGTCTTGGGAATTGTACGGTCATAACATTGCTTTTCAACAGGTAATTTAAATGTGTACAAATCGAGACAACAGTCAGTAATCATGTGTATTTATATTTTTTTCTTAATTTTTTTTAAAGTAAACTTTTGAGCACCTTTACATTTAGGTATATTTGTACTCCCTTCCTTTAAAAACGATGTGTTTACTATCTACCTACCATATAGGTAAGATCCGGTTAACAGACAGATTATGATGACAGATTGGTATGGGTTACGATTTCGAAAATAAATATAACATATTAATCTACCTTATATTACGACGTCTATTCTTAAAAGATGCCTATTGAATCTAAGAGACTATACAATAGTACTGATTATATTGCATAAATCAAGTAATAAATAAATACAAAAAAATATTCCATTAATTTACTGTTCACTCTTTCCAGTGGCATTGTACGCGGATGTTTGATCGTGTAACATACGCGCCACTAAGCGAACACAACCTTGTCACTCTGCGTTAGTATTACCAAAACTATAGTACATTTTGTTCACTATTTATTGTTACCACACTCAAATTTAGCTTAACTTGTACAATAATGTGATTTAATTTGTTTACTGAGCGTTAAGCGTAAATAAACAATGTTTAAGCTATTTTGGGATGTACGTAAGTATTGATTGGTTGATTGAGTATGGGAATTTAGAGCTTAAGATTGATGGAAATAGGGAGTAGTTTAGTATACTAGTTCATTACTAGACAACAGGATCTTAAGATAAGAAGTTTAAAGATAAGATTCTTTAAGGATTCTGCTGATATCGCCTAATAACATGTTTATAGGATATGCTTATTTATTACTTATACTTGAAAATACGGCAGTAAAAAAGTTCCTAACATACCTACTTTAAATTATGTAATGGTCATATTATATAACATTATTGATTAAAAGGCACATAATTAATACTTGTTTTTCCATATGGTACCTCAAAATTATACGTCTTAAAACTTAACTTTAAACTGAAAACAATTTTTTTAATCTTTATATATTTAAAAATATCGTGGTGCCCGGAGGTTTATGATGCTTGCTTCTCATGCACGAGGGTGGTGGTGCGGTTTCGAAATCTACCATCGGCAAGTACAAATATGACCTTTTCCAAGCTATATGTAATTTATTAGATGATTTAGACACCACTGACAAACAGTTGGAGGAAAACTTTGTGAGGAAACCTGGGCTGATAATTTCTAATTATAAGTTTGAAATCGCATTGAGCAAGCGTGGTGATTAATGCTCAAATGTTCTCCCTGTAAAAAGAGGCTTTTGGTCAGCAGTGGCCACTTATAGGCTGTTGATATGTTGATTTATTTATTTATTTAAGGTTTAGATAATTGCATAAGAACTTAATGCTAACAGCATTTACTGCCAGACATCGTTTGAGTAGTGCAGAAATGTACGCAGTAGGTGGTAAGCTGCAAAAAGGTTTAATTTTATACATAGGGCTTTTTTCCTAAGAGAATAACGGCAGCCCCAATTATAGAATATAAAATTCAGTACATACTATAATGAAGTAGCTAAACTGTTGACAAGTTTAGCTTGCCCTTAAACTTAAATTGCATGTTGCCACCTTGTTGTTCTTTATATTCTACTCTTATATTATTTTTTATGCTTTTATTGTTTTTCATGTTTTTTACTGCTGTTTTTATTGTTATTTTAGGTTTGCGTATTTGGTGCATCATGTAAATTATTTATTACTTTATATTACTTTTCCTTCTTTCTAAACATAAAATAATTAAATATAAGCTACATTTAATAAGTCCAATGATTAATTTAACAAGTAACAAAGATTGACAAATAAACTTTGTTCGTAAACAGCTGACGTCTCAATTAATAGAGTTGCACTATGAATTAATTATTATGATTTATGTTAATAGTACATAATTTCTAATAATGTTATGACATATTACTCTATGAGTAAGACATTAATCAGTTTCAGTATTAATTTAAACGAGACCAATTAAAATGACATGTTTTTTTAACGAATTAATATCCGCATAGCATTATTATAATTCACTAATTAAATGTACTCGTATATGATTATATTACAATTATGATTTCGTAAAAAATAGACTAGTTTTGTATGTTATGTAATATTCAGGTTTATTTAAACTTGAACTTCGGTACAGCCTTGACTTTAAGTTTGTCTTTTCTCATATGTCATGAGTATAATTCAGCGTCTATTTGTCTATGTCAATTCGAAATCTTGCAAATGGTTTAAGTATGCATAGTTAGGCAAAGTACTGCAATTACTAGGACAGTTAACTAACTACCTGGACTGAAGACAAAATAGGGATGAGGTTGTTAAGAATTTAAAAATCCAAAATAATTTTCTCCTTTCAATTCAAAGTTTGGTGAAAGCAATAAAATTGTAGTTTCAAACTTTTTTTAAACTTTACATATGTATATAGCTTGGCTTTGGATATATTGATTAATTTACGAAACACCCTAAATATGAGGTGGTCCATGATAATTGTACTTAAATTTTGAAATATTTGATTGTCATTAAATTTAACTAATGTTTTTTTATTTATCTATGTAGGTATGTATATTAGTCGTTATTACCAAGTGTAGATAATTAGAATCTTAAATCAACAGTTTATCCATCATATTCACGCGACATTTCGTTTTTATTATCATTGTCATTAGCAAAAACTTAATGTATTACTGATTGGTGATAACAACTATTGATAGTAAAAAATAAAAAAATAAAAGATATTTATAGTTTTGGCAAAGAGTACCTACCTTCCTTACTACATATTAATCTAGTAAGTGTCCTTTTTTAATGGTATTTTAAAAAAATGTAATGGAATGTGTATGGAACTATGTATTAGACATACACACACATATTATGCTCACAAATATTTACTATATTATATAGAAAGAAGATTAAATTACTTGAATTCGTTATAGATTTAACAATATTCCTACATAATTGTTTAACTTGAATTACTAGTTCCACGTATCTAGCAGTAGGTACTCGTAACAATAGGTGCTTCTCTACCTGGGATATACATCTGACTACTGAGAATTTCAATATCAAGTAATTCAATAATACTTTTGATGTAGATATTAGTTCTGGAAATAGAGTCCAGGACTTCGTTCTGCCTAATTAATAGTTTTAAAGGTCAAATTAAAATAAACATATAAATCAACACACATGTAGATACATAGCATGACAATTAATTCTCTATAATTATCACGCAGCTTTGAATAAATTAGTTGTAATTGATAATCGAACAACACTTTTGATAAGCTCAAAACCTTCTTTGAGTTTCTATAATGACTGATTTCGTAGTGGAGATACTTAAGTATAAGTATGAACCTGTTATCAATGCGTCATAGTACATTATGGTAATCTTTGCACCTGATAACTCATTTGTTTAATGTTACAAGATGGAAATAGGTATGTAGACGTTAATGGTGTGTAACCAAGATAATATTTGATATTGTATACAAATAACTTTACGCACTTTTTTAGTATAGACAACGCCAAGTTGTATACATATGTAGGTAGCCATGCTTTCATTGCGAGTACCGCCCGGAGGACACGGTGGGGCATACGATAGCGGTGTGTCCTGTGTGGGCTGAGCACCGCCGTGTCCTCAGGGATGTAATCGGCGATGGTGAGCTCTCGCATACGGCTTTGGTTCAAACTATGGTACGTAGCGAGGAAACCTGGGATGCCGTCTCCTCCTTCTGTTTTTGTGAAACAGTCATGCTAGCTAAGGAGTAGGCGGGGCGCGTAAGGGAATGAAACTCCTTACGCCCTAGTCGTCGCGAGAGACACTCACGGCGTCGGGGATCGCGAGATGATCTCCGGCCACCAAGTAAGCACGACCGGAGTGATACCATGGCCTCACAGAAAACTGACTTGAAACAACTTTTGCGTTGTGTCTTGTGGGTGAGGTTACCGGAGGCCCAATTACCCCCCCTATCCCTGAAACTCCATCAATCCTCAAATTCCTAATCCCAAAAGGCCGGTAACGCACTTGTAACGCCTCTGGTGTTCCAGGTGTCCATGAGCGACGCCGACTGCTTATCATCAGGTGATCCGTCTGCACGTTTACCGGTTTATCCCATAAAAAGGTAGGTAAATAATAGGTAGGTAG